TATAGCAAAACACGACCAAGTATTAAATATTGATTATAATTAAATTTATGTACTCGACTGTACCACACAAGGTAATGGTATAAAATAACCGCAACGTGAGCTAACAACGTACACACAACCACATAAATATCTGCCGGTAAAACAACAATCAATTAACACAGCGTATATTCATTTCATTTGATAACAAGTTTAGGAGATGCTTAAACACTATGTACAGTCGCGTCACGACGCCACGTGTATTATGTACATTAAATATATACGTATTGTTTACATTTTTTTAATACATTTTTATTAAAAGAACATCCTTTAATTTCCCTTGAATATAAATATCTTAGAAAACTCTTACACTTATGTGGGATACATGAGCTTTTATTAAAATCTATTTAATAATAATAATAATTAAAAATAGAACACCAAAAACCACTGTTACATTTAACATGCAGTGACAGATATACAGTTATATCTTTACAGGTATTAGTTAGAAATAAAAGTAAGGTTATAAAATCGGGAGTTTGTTACAGTTAATAGATGGCGCTAGTGACGTCATGCCACTGTACTAATAATGAAAAGCATTATATATATATATATATATATATATATATATACAGAATGAGGGAAAAGATTAATATCGTCCGTAATAATAACCCAATAAGTGCATTCAAACGATCACTAGCGCCACCTAGTGGCGAATCCAGTAAACCATTTTTGGTGGCCAATGTACCTCAGACATATTCATTAGTTCTCATATAAAAATCTTTAGATTTGTCACTAACGTTACCGAGACAAAGTTCTCCAGTGTTTACACATAATAGTCCCGATTAAAATGAGACCTTACGTCGTGGAGATAAGGCAGATTTCATGAGAGACAGTGAATTGACAAAGTGAAATAAAAATTATTTTGCTCTATCTTCACACTAGCTTCACAAAGGGATTGGCAGAGGAGAACCTACTAGCTACTTACATCTAAGTTAAAAAAAAATCAACAAGGTATTAATCTGGTAACGACTGGAGATCTTATATTTCCGGTAGTAAGCTGTAATCTTCTGTGTATAGAGGCATATTATATTAATTTGAAATAATTACTTTAATCAGCGTCCTGAGAACTGTTTAACGACGGTACATTACAACAGTGAGACGTTACACGGTAATTTAACATTTAAAATTAATGACGAGACATTACTAGATGGTGGAATTAATTGAATAATTACTCGACTACGCAATGAAGTAGGTTATAAATATGTTTTTGTTTTCATATTGTTAGAATCGATCAATGATGACAGCATAGATAAATCGAGGAAAAAAATTATGTACGAAAAAATAATGCCATAAATTTTTTAACCAGCGAATTGCGGCATTTTAAATAGTGGGAACTTACGTTTTTTTTTTCAATTAATATTTTATTTTTGACACCAAAGTATAACTGTCTCTATTCCTATACACACGGTCATAATACAATAAATATATAACAAAAGGACTCGGCGTTATATTGTCTTCTCTTTCCATTCGATACAAATGACAAACACAATTCGCAACCGATTGCTAGACTCATCCATTTTGTCCATTTTTCATAGTTATACCGCGTATTACCGCATAATACCAGTACCTATTATTAATATTACGAATTATCTTCAAACCAGAACCCTTGCGAGGTAGGCAGACAGATCAAGCATTTAATTATTACATTCCCTTAACATGTAATACCTACGATAGATGGCAGCACAGTTCATATACATAAGTTGTTAATTTACATTGACTTCAAAATCAGTCTAGTAGAGTTAGACTAGTGCATTCAATATTTAACCCTTCTTTGCATGTTTTTTTTTTTTTGGTGAAATAAATTTATTTATTTATTTATTTAACTCTTTATTGCACCATAAATAAAAATATACAATGACAAGTGAATAATTCAAGTGAAATAAAGTAACATAAATACAGATTGAAATATACACATAAAGGTACAAAAGGCGGTCTTATGGCTAGGGCAATCTCTTACTGACACCCTTTAGTTAAAGGAGAACAGATAGAAGTGGGCAGGTGGCGCAAGAGTGAATTAATAATTTTTCGTGCATAAAATACAAAAAAATGTAATGCACAAAAATATCAAATACATATAATTTATTAAACTACTTGAATCAAGGTGATAAAAAAATAAATTTGACAGCTATGTTTTTTTTTTCTGCAATAGACATTAAAAAGGTATCCATACACGATCAACTTAAAGTGAACTTGTTCTTTTATATAATTTTCGGGAATTCAATGTTATGATGAAAATTTCCAAAATTATGCACAGAAGGGTTAATGCTTGTTTTTAGCAAGCGAATTTTAATACATGACGTGCACGCCCACGATATGATCGCAGCGCCACCTAGTATCAGACTAAGCACAACTTGTTACTGTACTAGATAATTTGGTAGTAAAATTTGAATTTATTTTTACCGATAGAAATGTCTCGTTGGGATGAACCTTTGACTTTTATACATTGGTACACCCACACACACACACAATCATAACTTCAATATCTGAACACCACAAACACAGATGTTTTAAAATTACCAAGAACTAGTATTGTTTCATATGGCTTCGTGTTTTGTTTTTAATATTTTTTATTTAAAAATTACTCGAAAGAACTACCTCGATAACAGAGTGGGAAGCAGAAATAACGCGAATCCGACTCGCACTTGATCAGGTTTTTTTTTATCTATGGAACATCAGCGAACTGTCTTATGGTCGGCTCAATTATACGTGTGTTTACATTGTCATCGAGTTCTATCGAAAAAGACTATATTATACCAATGTAGCGGATGATTTTCACCAATCTCATTCGGTCTAAATTCCGTGTAACTTTTTAGTTTCAAGTCTTCAGAAAAGTCAATGTGTCCAGGTTGTATGAGTCCTTCTATATTTCGGGGGAATCGGCTTTACTGGGGACACAAAGTCGAAAGCACAGTTGAAAGGTCCACCGATATTCGACAGGTGTCGCTGCTGTTGAAAATGATCACTATACGAAGGTAGGATATTATCGTATAGAGCGAACACACACACACACACACACACACACACGCACACATACACACACGCACACATACACACACGCACACATACACACACGCACACATACACACACGCACACATACACACGCACACATACACACGCACACATACACACGCACACATACACACGCACACATACACACGCACACATACACGAAGCCAACGTAAGAGTTCGCCGCTTGTGTTTGCAACTGTACACTTACAACTAAAGTGGCTATTATCAATTCCGAGGCGACAGGTTTTTAACTAGTTACTAACCTAATACATAGACACCCGCCGGTGTAGTCAGTCGAACACAGACGCTACTTATACTAGACAGAGGCTAAGCCGCGTCGCATGTTGCTCGCTATGCAAGTATAGATAATTATAAAGGAAATCATTTCAATTGACTCGGAATTTATTTCTTAAAATATTGTTTTTGTAGTAGAAAATAAATTGTTGTAAAAAGTGATGGAGCATTTATATTAAATATATCTTTTGTCACTTTCTAATAAATAAATAATTTAGCTGGATAGAAAAGGACGAGTATATTTTAATAGTTAAAATAAGGTTTATTAGAACTTTTACGTTTTAAAATGACTCCCTCTATAATTATTCACAATAGAATACAGATAAGTTAAAACTGTGCTTACATTACTTTTATATAATTTTTTTTTCTTTTCATTTGGATTGGCTATAGTTTACAGTAAGGATTGTGATTTTTTGTATTACTAATCTAAAGTTGCAATACAAATTATATTTGTATGTATATATCGCGAGACCACGTGATAAGTATGTACCTATCATGACAGTTTTTAAACTATCATTGGATTTTGGACTATAAAGTCTTTACTGTAAAGCTTTATATCAATTGGTAATATTACACAAATATATATTTTTTTAATTATATTTGCTATTATACAATCTTAGTATGTTTTTTTTTTTATATAAATAACGAATACATAAAATGAACAAATGCTTTTAATAAAGATACTGTTTTGTTCATTTAGTACATATTTATTATTATCAAATTTTTTTTTCTTGTTTTTAAATGAAAATTATGAAAAGAAAACATGCCAAGATTGTTTAGTAATATGCGAAATATAAATAAAAAATTTATACGAATATTTTGTCTATGGTACACTTGTACAGAGTAGAAGTTACAGAGTAGTAAATGTTAGAAATCATAAAGTAAAGATTGTCGCTGGACAACATTTTTCATAAACTGTGTGAAATATATTTTTAATAATTTATTAAGTGTCAAGTGAAAGTGTCAAGTGTCAGAATGTTTATACTGTCAAGTGATTATTGTAAGGGAATGTACTCTTTACTGACTAGTGTTCATATTTACATACTTTATGTTGTTTGTTTGTACGCGAGGGACGCGTGTGAATATGGGGGAAGTATGGGTCTTAATTTCGTTCTTACTTCTCTCATTAGAAAGAATTTATACTTGTTTTTGAGTTTAAGTTTAAGTGTCAAAGTTAGATTCATAATTCGTCATAGTGGTAGAATACTGACGGATCTTTATATGCAATATTTGTTAGATCCGTCAGTATTCTACCACTATGACGATATGTTCTTTTATGAATAATTGAATAATTTTTTACATTTGTTTTTTTATTTAAAGAGTGTACCAATAGTGAACTGAAATGTTAATAATGAAATAAAATTTGTAATAATAAAAATATGCGTCAATGGTTTGTATTTTGGTTTAGATGGTAGACAAGAAATTTAAAATTCAGGTAGAAAAAGGCGTTAGTTGTTTAGTAGTATACAGTTTACTTCATGGCTAACATTCCAGTTTACTATTGATATTATTCAACCATACATATTGAAAACTGTTTCTGTGAATCGATATACAAAATTCAACGTTGTTATATTTCGTTAGATCTGATTTATGTTAATATTGATTTCGGTTCGTTCCCGGTCTGGTGAAATATCACTGTCTAGTGTAGTCATACTGCAGTCTAGTCTAATTCTGTTCCAGTTGTGATCAATGCCAAGGAGTGTTTACTTACCAGACCGAGAGCAAACCGTGAGCTGGCGAGGTTGTCGGCGTGGTCGGCGCGGTCGGCGCGCGCCGCCAGCACCAGCGCCGGCCGCCGCCACGTGTCGGCGGCGTGGTCTAGGGCGGCAGCGCGAGCGCGGGCGCGCGCGGGTGCAGCGCGAGCGCGGCGGCGGCGCAGTCGGCGGCGGCGGCGTGGTCGGCGCGCGCCGCCAGCACCGCCGGCCGCCGCTAGGGCGGCAGCGCGAGCCGGGCGCGCGCGCCGCGGCGGCGGCGCAGTCGGCGTCGGCGGCGTGGTCGGCGCGCGCCGCAGCGCGAGCGCGCCGGCGCGCGCGGGTGCAGCGCGAGCGCGGGCGCGCGCGGGTGCAGCGGCGGCGGCGGCGCAGTCGGCGGCGGCGGCGTGGTCGGCGCGCGCCGCCAGCACCAGCGCCAGCCGCCGCCACGTGTCGGCGGCGTGGTCAGGGCGGCAGCGCGCGAGCGCGGGCGCGCGCTGCAGCGCGAGCGCGGCGGCGGCAGTCGGCGGCGGCGGCGTGGTCGGCGCGCGCGAGCGCGGGCGCGCGCGGGTGCAGCGCGAGCGCGGCGGCGGCGCAGTCGGCGGCGGCGGCGTGGTCGGCGCGCGCCGCCAGCACCAGCGCCGGCCGCCGCCACGTGTCGGCGGCGTGGTCTAGGGCGGCGGCAGCGCGAGCGCGGGCGCGCGCGGGTGCAGCGCGAGCGCGCGCGGCGGCGCAGTCGGCGGCGGCGCGCGTGGTCGGCGCGCGCCGCCAGCGCCAGCGCCAGCCGCCGCCACGTGTCGGCGCGCGCCGGCTCCAGCGCCGCCGCCGCCCGCAGCGCGTGCTCCGCCAGCCGCAGCCAGCCCAGCTCGTAGTACGCCGCGCCTGCACCGCCCGCAACCACACACCTCTATACATCACCCTCGTCACCGCCACCCACCACTCACCCCACGCTACCCTGGTGGGGCACCAGTGAAGGATGATACGTGAGAATGAAAAGACAGGTCAATTAGCCCATCGTGATGAATTCTTTTGAAACACTTAAAATTCAGCACGATGGTTTCCAGGGGGGACCACGGAGAGGTCGACCTGTTATGGTATATTATTAGCAATGAGAATAATAATCCGCATCACTAAAAATCCCTTCCCCCCACATCACCGGCAGTTGGCTGTCTCACCAGTTACCAGATAATAATGAAATGAAAACCCCGCCTCTGCGAAGGGAAGAGATTGTTAGTAATGAGGAGCTTAGCCCCCATTGCTATCAATATACCCTATCAGGTCGACTTCGACACGGTTCCCCCTGGAAACCATCGTGACTAATTTATCGTTGAATTCGGCACAATGGACTAACTGACCTACCTTTCATCCTCACCTATCATCCCTCACTGATCACTCCCCGCCGCAAGTGTATACCGATAGTGCAGGCGGGGTTACTATTCCATTATCAACTATTAAAAAAAAAACAGCGAAAAACAATAGGTAAAGATAAAGACAGGTCAGTTATCTCACCATGACATGGAATTTACAACAATTTCCAAGAAGGCCCACATAGAAATCTATCTGATAGAAATATATTGCTAGTTAAGACATCGCTAATCCCCATTGCTAACAATCCCTTCCAATTATATAAATCAATCCACTGTACAGGCGGTAGAACACGCAGTGAGGCAAAATCTCTCCTAAGTTTTAAGGGTTCGATACCGCCTGTGAGCCTGGGATCATCGACAATTCTCATAGCTCGTCGTTGCAACGAGTCGAAAGGTTCAAGCTGGTATTTAGGTGCTCCGGCCCATAAGTGACAGCAATACTCCATGTGGGGCCGGATTTGCGATTTGTACAGCATTAATCGCTGATCCGGCGTGAAGTAATGCTTCGCTCTATTGAGCACACCGAGTTCTTTAGATGCCAGCTTCACCTTATTTTCGAAGTGGCTACGGAACTGCACATCACTAGAGATGTCGACACCAAGGATCCCAATGCTTTTAGAGATGTTAAGAGACGTGCCTTGGAACTGTGGAGCCACAGCAAATGGGGTTTTCTTAGCGGTGAACGCGCAAGCTTGTGTCTTAGCGAGGTTAAACTGGACTAAGTTTTGTCGTCCCCAATCGGAGACTCTAGTTAACGTTCTCTCGATTTTAGACACAAGCTGTTCACGATTATCCTCCACGATGGAACGAGGGACATTGGTACGACCCGTATAATGGGCATCCCCAGTGCTGTCATCCGCATAACAATGAATGTCACCTAAGGACAACATAACATTAATATGCAGCAGGAACAACGTCGGGGATAGCACAGAACCCTGCGGGACGCCAGCGTTAATGTCCATGCCATGGAGCAGCAACCATCAACAGCGGTTTTTATGCATCTGCCAGACAAAAAACTGGCAACCCATTCGCTAAGGCTGTCGGGAAGTCCATAGTAGGGCAATTTCGATAGAAGACCCCGATGCCAGACCCGGTCAAAAGCTTTTGCAATATCAAGACTAACAGCGAGCGCCTCACCCTGACTCTCAATGGCTGACGCCCATCGATGCGTAAGATGTACCAAAAGGTCACCAGTTGAGCGACTATGGCGAAAGCCGTATTGGCGGTCACTCAATAAATCGTGATCCTCTATGTATCTCAAAAGCTGTGCGTTAATTATACGCTCCATCACCTTAGAGAGAAGGGAGGCGATCGTTATCGGCCTGTAATTTGAAGGGTCCGACTTATCGCCCTTTTTAGGTACAGGATGTACAAGGGTGGTCTTCCATGTCGAAGGAAATTGCCTTGTGGAGTACGAAATCGTGAAGAGACGCGTTAATGCAGGACATAGTTCCGGAGCACACTGCTTTAGGACCACTGCCGGTATACCGTCTAGCCCACTCGACTTATGAACATCTAAGGATAGTAACTTCCGCCGGACTTTACATTGTGTTATGGTAATTTCCGGCATAGAGCTTCCACAGCACGGGATGGTAGGTGGTGTAGAATTACCTTCGTCCATAGTCGAGTTAGAGGCAAAGAGATTACCTAATAGATCGGCTTTCTCTTTAGCACTGTAGGCCAAGTTACCATTCAAATTCCGAAGTGGTGGAAAAGACGACTGACAAAAGTTTCCTTGGGCGGCTTTGGCAAGCGACCAGAAAGCACGATTACCAGAAGGTAGGCTTGATAGTCGCCTACCAATTTCGCCCACAAATTCAAATTTAGCTCTGGCAATAACTCTCTTACTGTGCCTCGAAGCAGCGTTTAATTTCCGCTTTGCATCAGTGATCCCAGGATCCGAGTTAGTGCGAGCCGTAGTCCAAGCCTTGTATGCAGATTGCAGAGCAAATAGTGTAAATAGGTTACTTTTTACCGCCCAAACACGCAACGACCCACACCCGAATGTAATACATAAAATTACATACAATTTACCACTCTAAGTCACACTATATAAAATATTAATCACTAACATCTATTCCAAAAAAAAAAAAATTACATGAACAGCTAAATTAATAAAAACAGTCGCCATTCACAAGAAACTTCAAAAACGAGATTTTAAATCCGATTATATATATTTTATCTAAAGAATCCTCAAGATCCGCGTACACTTTACATAGGGATGTGATTAAAGGGATGGAGATCTGATTAAAATTAGGTACATGAGTGGGTTATATCCTAACTTAGCACATAGGATACTTAATGTACTGATTCAAGCGGGCGGAACCACGGGATACAGTGTACGTACCGAGCTGGACAATGCTGTCGAGGTGCGTGGGGTGCACGGCCAGCGCGTCCTGGAAGCTCTGCCGCGCCTCCGCCCACGACCCGTCCGCCGCCTGCACCAGCCCGCGCTGCGACCACAACAAACCACCACTTTACATATGGAACAACAGCTGCGAACTTCGTTAAAATATTCAAGTTTCTATATGCAAAATGTTCTCGTTGTTATTTATTGATGAAATGTATATAATGTAATCTTAAAGCGTTTACCGTATATAAGACTAGATGACTGTAGGGTGTGAGTGCGGCCGCTTCCGCCACGCAGCCGGCCGCCGCGCTCACGCGGTCCATCCTGGGAGTTAACAAGTTATTACAACATATTCACACATTTGAGATACAAAATGCTTATAATCAATCTATTAAGTATTTTAGACACATAATTTAATATTAAAAGTTTCTAAAACCTGGCTCGAAGGATCGGACCATCGTCTTTTTTTGAGAACAACTCGGTCTTTCACAAAGTACGCATTACATTTACACCACTAAATTCATACAATAATTTTTTAGATCTAAAAATCCGGCTCGAAGGACCATTTTGTCTTATTATTTACGATGGAAACGATTTGGTCATCAATAATACGCATCAACTTGCACTATTAAATACATACTTTATTTTTTGCTAGAAATAAAAAAAGACATTATAATGGGGCTCGAAGGACTATTTTTTTTTAAGTTGAGAAAGTGTCGGTGTTTGCTTAGTGCGCGTTTTAGCCGCAGCGCGGGCTGCGCGCGCGGCCGTACCTGAGGCAGAGGTCGGCGAGCAGCAGCCACGCGTGCGCGCGGCGCTCGGCGCGCGGCGAGCGGCGCGGCGCCGACGCCGACGACGCGCCCTCCGACAGCGCGCGCTCCGCTCGCATCACGCCCGCCGACGACGCCCGCAGCGACGCTGCATCCATCCACCATTAAACATTACTCACAACTGCTACGGGACGTGGCGATCGCGCAACGCAATATCCATTGCCGTGTCGTGCGGCGCTCGACTGGCAATCGTGAGCCGCCGCCGCTGCGCTGTACGTGCCTTCATGGCCAATGTAGCGCCGGCACGTAATGCGTGCGTGATATCCACGATACTATTCTAGATTATAGGTGACAAGGCCAACTGAATAATTTCATTCAATATTCGTATCGCTATGCTAACGTACCGGCGTCCCTGATGCTGTGCGTGTCGTCAGCGTGCATCTCGTCGGAGAGCGCGTCCAGCTCCGTGTACCCGTTGTGTTCCACGTCTGACTCTTCGAAACTATTTAACAACGACAACAGTTCCTTTCCCGTCGCTAAGGCAGCCTGCGAATGATAGCATTTAAACGAGATAAAATTAGGAATTTTTACTAGACTTGGGTTTAGTTAATAATATTGAAATTTTTGTATTGAAATTGCAGAAATGGGAGTATTATAGTCTATGGATGCCTGTAACACAACAACATACAACAATAAGGAATGCTACGTGTGCGTTATCAATGTTTAAGAAATTTTAATACGCTTTTTTTGAAGAAATATATGTTGTTGTTTCTAGGGAAAGTCTTGGTGGGCAAATAATTTCATTACCAGAGTGTTCGTGGTAGGAAGCTCTTCTGTATGTATATATATGTGTGTGTGACAATTCTGGTTTTAAAGTGTGAGGATGGATTCTCTATTGATAGTTAGCAGTGCGATGGTGAAAGGTGGTCGTACGCATCATACCGAAGAGTTCTTTCAAATACAATCCATTATAAAGGCGGAAGAAGAGAAGCATCCTCGCGTTAAATTAAGGGGTTTGATATTATATTGCTTGTTAACTTGTTCTGGATCACAATAAGAAGACTATGCTGGTATTCAGGAGCTCCCGTTTACAAGGGAAGACTGTATTAGAGCTGTGTACTAGATGTTTTTATTTTTTGATGTGTAAAAATGGTATGGTAACCCCGCGTGCGCTAACGGGATACGCCGGCGGAGCACCAGTGAAGGGCGATAGATGAGAATGAAAACAGGCCAGTTAGCGCATCGTGATGAATTCATCAGGAATTAACCACGATGGTTTCCAGGGACAATCGCGAGGTGTCCCCCCCCCCCCCGTGCAGTAGATGTGATGCGGTGCGGCGCGGTACCTCGCCGCCCTCCCCGTGCAGCTGCAGCGCGGCGAGCGCGGCGAGCGGCCACTCGGCGGCGGGGTAGTGCAGGCGCGCGAGGCGGGCGGCGGCGCGCGCGCGCGCGGCCCGCGGGCCGGCGCACGCGCGCGCCCACAGCGCCGCCGCCAGCCGCAGCGCGCCGCCGCACTCCGCGCGCGCCGCCAGGCACGCGCGCGTCGCGTCCTGCAACCCGCGCACTCCCGTCACCTCACCTCTCACACGTGCCGGGCCCGATCCCCACGATCCCCCGAAACTTTTACCAGAGGGCGACTTTGTACAAAAGTCGATTGCTTGGGTACCTCTGTCACATTCGTGTTTCAACCGTGAAGCAGTTGTGTTTGCATACCTGTGTTTCGGTTTGAAGGGTGGGATATGGCGTGAATTTACTGGGTACAGAGGAATAACACCTGAGTCCTCAGGAATGGCAACGCATGGGGGATATCATGGACGAAACAGTATACTCTATTATGTCCATGGTACTGCTCATGTCTATAGGCGACGGTTACCACTTTCCATCAGGTAGGCCGACAGCTTGTTTGCCATTCTAAGTAGTATAAAAAAAAAAAAAAAAAACTTAGGACATAAGAAGAGATACAGATCCGGGCAGCACCGTTGTCGCCGATCGACTAGCGATCTCTGCACCTTAACTTCTATTCGCAGCGGGTCCGAGAGAACCGGCACACGTCGATTTAAAAACCCGCCGAAATTCGAGACTTAGAAAATTATTTTTTGCAATAGCACCACTGTTTGCCCGTCGATCGGAAGTTCTCTTAAATAAAGTCAACTTTATTTTTATAAATACCTACTTCAATATAGCACCTATAAAGTTTATTTCGTTACTTATTTAAATATATATATATATATATTCACAATTATCATACGTACACAAAATGACTCTCCACTAAAAAGCAACTGAACTGTAAAAATTAAATACTGTCACTGAAATCTCACCATAGCATCGTTCAGCATGCCCAGGTACATGTACTGTAGTGCGAGGTAGTAGAAAGCCAAGTGGTCGTTGTCGTCCAGTTGTACCGCCCGCTGCAGTAGCTTCAGACTCGTCGCATTCGCGGCTTCTTTCTCGATGCGACAATTTGTTTTCTGTCAATCATAACACCTATAAATTCTATAGATTACATTGAATTTTCTATTACAAATTATTTCCATAGAATCTAATCATGGAGATAAAATTAAAAAAAAAATAGCAAATATATCTATTAATATATAAATAAAAAGAATACGTAGAAAATGAATACATGATAAATATACAACTTTAATACTCTTTCTAGAACTCTTATTATCGATCTATTTTCAAAAAATATAATATCAGTGAGAAACCAACCGAGTAAGCAATTTTTTTATTCATAGTCAGTTTTAATATGCCACATTTTGGTCAAATATTTACATTTAATCTTTAATTTGTACTTTACTTATCATTATTATTGTTTGTTTTTATAATTTATTATTATCATTATTTGTTTTTATTTGTTCTCTCTTGTTTGTTCACTTTTTTTGGTAACTCGTATTTTTGTTGCTTTGTGTAAAGCGCCTTGTATCTATATTGTTGCTATTTGTGAAAACCTATTAGTGGCTTATTTTATTATCCTAAAACTGTATCTATTTGCTGTAGTGTAGCCCTGGTTTTCCTATGAATAAATAAATAACTTTTTTCTATACCGTTCGCAAACAATAATGTGTCACATAATAATCCAATATACAGAATGTGCAAATTGTACAACGACATTGATTGTAAATCGGATATTGACATATTCTATCAGAAATTTTCATTGTATCGAAGCACTTTACATACATTGATAACTTAATAGTTTTTATGCATAGTTTGGTAGTTTTCTTTTTGATTCTTGTTTTGTATCTAGTTTTTATCATTAATTCTTTTTGTAGTAAAAATTAACCTATTTTGTTTCATCTCTGTGAATGTTGAGTACAACTATAATTGGATTGCAAACTTATAATGCTATTGTTGTATTCTATTGTTAAAAGTTTTGTTTGTAATCTGTTGTTGTATCACAAAAATAAAAATAAAATAAATAAATAAATAAAACGAAGTAATATTTAATAGTGATTCAACAACTAGTTACCTGTGCTTTCATCTGGTGTCCGATGCCGCAGTAGAGGCAGGCGCGCGCCAGCATGTTTCCCTGCTGCTCCTCTTCTATCGCCAGCGCCGCCTCCGCCAGCTCTATGCCGTCTTCTATCTACAACAGTACAGCGGTTATAGCAAACATGCACTGTTGCTAGTTTCCCATGTCGAGAACTTTTTAATATGACGCGTAATTTGCGACACGGACGCACTCACCCAGCCCATGTGGTAGCAGGTGGCGGCGGCGACGAGCCGCAGGGGCGCGTCGGTGGGCACGAGCGGCGCCGCGCGGCGCGCCACTGCCAGCGCGCGCACGCCGGCCGCCCACGCCGCGCCGCCGGCCGCGTGCGGCGGCGCGGCGCCGGCCGGCCCGGGCGTCGGCGCGGACGGCGCGGGCACCGCCGCCGCCGTGGCCAGCGCGCGCTGCCGCCACACGTGTGCGCAGCCGAACGAGAACTTCATCGCGCGCTCCAGCGACTGCGACCGTAGTATACGATATATATATACAGTAGATTTCATCTATTATGACCTTGGTTGTAGCGACCGTTTACCTATAGCGACGTTAAATCTATGTCCGTTCAACTTAAAGCATATTTTAGTACAAAATTCGTGTGGCTGTAGCGACTTTGGATGTAACGCCGAGTTCGGGTGTAGAGGCTGTTTTTAATGAATCATTTGTAACAAACTCCTAGAAGTCCCATGCAAATATTGCGACCGAAGTTGGCCGCCGAAGAGACACTAAAATTTCTTTTTTTTTTACAAACATCTCTAACCTTTTGATTACATCCACACAGATGGTCAGAAAGTATGGAGACCTTTACTTATTGTTTATAGCTATCAGCTAAGTAGGTAGAGAAACGTGTACGTTTCGATGTTGAATTTATGGTTCAGTTAACTTTTGAATAAGTGACTGCCTCGACGCACGTTCTCTGTTAAGGAAAAGGCGGAAATCGTTTCAAAATTGAAAAACGATGAAAACAATGCTGATTTGGGCGAAGAAAAAACTATACATATGTACATGTCTATATCTCTTTATCCTTGCCTGTAATGAGTTCCGGATATAGCGACGAAAATAGAGTGGGCCCTTGATCGTCGTTATACCCGAAATCCACTGTAATACGAATTACAACAATGTGTGAAGGTGTTCGTAATGTTTCGAGTTGGGCGCGGCCTTTACCTCGAGCACGAGGCACAGCTGCCCCCAGCGCGTGGCGGCGAACGCGAGCAGGTCGACGAGCGCGGGACGTACCTCGAGCACGAGGCACAGCTGCCCCCAGCGCGTGGCGGCGAGCGCGAGCAGGTCGACGAGCGCGGGACGTACCTCGAGCACGAGGCACAGCTGCCCCCAGCGCGTGGCGGCGAGCGCGAGCAGGTCGACGAGCGCGGGACGTACCTCGAGCACGAGGCACAGCTGCCCCCAGCGCGTGGCGGCGAGCGCGAGCAGGTCGACGAGCGCGGGACGTACCTCGAGCACGAGGCACAGCTGCCCCCAGCGCGTGGCGGCGAGCGCGAGCAGGTCGACGAGCGCGGGACGTACCTCGAGCACGAGGCACAGCTGCCCCCAGCGCGTGGCGGCGAGCGCGAGCAGGTCGACGAGCGCGGGACGTACCTCGAGCACGAGGCACAGCTGCCCCCAGCGCGTGGCGGCGAGCGCGAGCAGGTCGACGAGCGCGGGACGTACCTCGAGCACGAGGCACAGCTGCCCCCAGCGCGTGGCGGCGAGCGCGAGCAGGTCGACGAGCGCGGGACGTACCTCGAGCACGAGGCACAGCTGCCCCCAGCGCGTGGCGGCGAGCGCGAGCAGGTCGACGAGCGCGGGACGTACCTCGAGCACGAGGCACAGCTGCCCCCAGCGCGTGGCGGCGAGCGCGAGCAGGTCGACGAGCGCGGGACGTACCTCGAGCACGAGGCACAGCTGCCCCCAGCGCGTGGCGGCGAGCGCGAGCAGGTCGACGAGCGCGGGACGTACCTCGAGCACGAGGCACAGCTGCCCCCAGCGCGTGGCGGCGAGCGCGAGCAGGTCGACGAGCGCGGGACGTACCTCGAGCACGAGGCACAGCTGCCCCCAGCGCGTGGCGGCGAGCGCGAGCAGGTCGACGAGCGCGGGACGTACCTCGAGCACGAGGCACAGCTGCCCCCAGCGCGTGGCGGCGAGCGCGAGCAGGTCGACGAGCGCGGGACGTACCTCGAGCACGAGGCACAGCTGCCCCCAGCGCGTGGCGGCGAGCGCGAGCAGGTCGACGAGCGCGGGACGTACCTCGAGCACGAGGCACAGCTGCCCCCAGCGCGTGGCGGCGAGCGCGAGCAGGTCGACGAGCGCGGGACGTACCTCGAGCACGAGGCACAGCTGCCCCCAGCGCGTGGCGGCGAGCGCGAGCAGGTCGACGAGCGCGGGACGTACCTCGAGCACGAGGCACAGCTGCCCCCAGCGCGTGGCGGCGAGCGCGAGCAGGTCGACGAGCGCGGGACGTACCTCGAGCACGAGGCACAGCTGCCCCCAGCGCGTGGCGGCGAGCGCGAGCAGGTCGACGAGCGCGGGACGTACCTCGAGCACGAGGCACAGCTGCCCCCAGCGCGTGGCGGCGAGCGCGAGCAGGTCGACGAGCGCGGGACGTACCTCGAGCACGAGGCACAGCTGCCCCCAGCGCGTGGCGGCGAGCGCGAGCAGGTCGACGAGCGCGGGACGTACCTCGAGCACGAGGCACAGCTGCCCCCAGCGCGTGGCGGCGAGCGCGAGCAGGTCGACGAGCGCGGGACGTACCTCGAGCACGAGGCACAGCTGCCCCCAGCGCGTGGCGGCGAGCGCGAGCAGGTCGACGAGCGCGGGACGTACCTCGAGCACGAGGCACAGCTGCCCCCAGCGCGTGGCGGCGAGCGCGAGCAGGTCGACGAGTGCGACGGCGTTGCGCAGCGCGTGCGCGCGCGCCGCCTCGAACTCTGCGCTCTGCGACAGCACGGCGTCGCGCACCGCCATCGCCTCGCCCACCAGCAGCAGCAGCACCACCTCCTCGTACTCGTTGCACGGCACGAACTTTACATTTGTACATACAATATTGAGAACGCTGTTTGTATGTATGTTGTACACACAATAAATACAGAAGCATGGCAGTGTGAACAAGGTAGAAAGGAGAATTTATAATTAAGCTTATTATACTTTTTTAAAACATTTTAGATTTACTTATAGGACATACATTGTAGATATTTTTAATATCGAAAATAATCTGTTAACAGCATTTTGGTTTAATTTACCACATTAACTATATATAAATAGACCATAGGCCCCAATAGTGATCCTCGAGGGACACTTCTAAGTTAGGTCATAATGTAAACATAGATTATATTCACATTTAAAAAATTTCAATAACATAGTATAATAACAGCCTTTAAATTACTGCTTAAATTAAACAAAGCTTTCCAAATACCAGTACAAACCATTGAAATATTAAAAAAAAAAAAGTTTAAATTATGAGTAAAATCATTGCAAAATCTCATACAAGAAGTAAAGTGATTACAAATGTATGTGCCTTAAATGCCACTGGCCTCTCTATCCACAGTCATAGCAATAAAATTCACGAAGTACTTATCACTTGTAGAATTTTTTTGTAAAGTTATAAACAAACCTGATTGATTCCAGCGTACTTTTTCGGTTTCCACGGCCCCTCGGAGACGTGGTCCTCTCGCCGCCTACTCAGCGTGCCTTGTTGCGGTACTGCTACCTTTTCTGGTGCTTTATATACCTAACACATAAAATATTTAGATATTAATATACAAGGAACAAAATAAAAAAATAAAACAAAATTTACAACACGTTTTTTTTTAGACTTTTCCTGTAGTTTATTGATATTTGTAGTAAAAAATACCGATAAAGTATAATGCGTATTATAATTATAGTTCAATAGTGCGTGTATGCGCACGCGCACGGTGCGTACCTGGCCGGTGACGCCGCGCATGAGCACCTCTGCGAGCTGCCGCGCCAGCGTCAGCCGCAGCGCCTGCGTGGCCGGCGCCTCCACCGCCGTCAGCATCTCGCGGTACCTGCCGCACGCAACGCCACCACTTCGTCTACTAAACTCAACTAGTAGGACCAATTTTGGTCCTTCTAGCATCCCTGTCCAAAGTTTTGATAAAACCCGAGAAAAAATAAATAAACACAGTGAACCAATAGCGCTATCAGAAAACTAATCCATGGATTAAAGATGTTGTTGGACACTCATTTGACCACTCTTTGGAATCAACTTCCAGCAGCTGTATTTCCGGACTGATAGGAGCGTATTCCTTTTTAAAAGGCCGGCAGCACACCTGCAATGCCGTTGGTGTTGTGGGCGATCATGGGCGGCGGTAGTCACTTACCATCAGGTGAGCCGCATGCTCGTTTGCCTTATGTGTTGTAAAACACAAATATGACTTTTTATTGCCCCCCCCCCTCCCCCCACTAATAATATTACTGTGAGGGGTTTCATAAATTTACAGTAAACTTAGATGTAATTTTCTTTGTATAACAAAGTTACGAGAAAGAGCTAGTAAGCGGGTTACAGATGCCGTAGGATAGGAGGGGCAGGCACCTGTCGATGGCGGCGTGCAGCCGCGCGGCGCGCATGTGCAGGATGGGCGCGCGCTGCAGCGCCGTCTCCAGCGTGGCGCCCGCGCCGCCCGCGCCCCCCGCCCCACCCCCCGCACCGCCCGCGCCGCCCGCGCGCTGCAGGTACAGCAGCGTCAACTCCGACGCCACCTCGAAGCTGCGGATCTACGGAACCGCCGCCACTTACTTGCCGGTTACCGCTCACTTCACACTCTACGACTAGCGCCACATTCAGCCGATATTCGATCGCTGATCATCTCTTGTCGAACTTTTAATTCGATGCAGTAAACTGACATGAGCTAATGTCACTTTCAAAGGGGGCAAAAGGAGTTGTTAGTAATCCTATTGCTAACAATATACGCTATCAGGTAGACCTCCGCGTCGTCCCCCTGAAAACCATCGTGCTGAATTCCTAGTATATTCAGCACGATGGGCTAACTGACCTGTCTTTCCATCCTCACCTATCATTCCTCACTGGTGCCTTGCCACTGTATACCGATAGCGCTGGGAGAGTTACCATTTCGTTATCATCAATCAAAAAAAGTTACTTTTAAAAATAACGTTACCACATTTAACTTCATTCATTTAAAAACGAACTATTTTCACTAGCGTAAACCTATAAAGTTATAATTCTATAAGTAATATATAATTATTACTATTTCATTACAACAACTTCCTTTCCCACATTAGTCCCTTATTCATTTCATTTATTAATTTCCTTTACGCATTTCCAACATTCCCTCCCTTTTTCCCCTCAATCCTTTCCTACAAACCGTAGGTGGTGAAAACCACCAACAAATGCATTCCCAAAGAGGGTTGACGTCAGGCAGGTGGCCGGTCGTAAAACTATAAGCCAAATCCAAGCCTATATCGATAAAACCAGATTACGCCGACCCCAAATAATAATTGGGATAAGGGTAGGAAAATGGTGATTACAACAAAAACAAGACAAGAAAAAACCTACCTATCTCGTTTCTTTTTTATTTATGCCCATAAATAAAAAAATATTAATATACAATAATAACCTGCAACACTGGAACTGTCGGTTTACTGCATCGAATTAAAAGTCCGACTATATGACGCGGTGACAATAAAACAAATTGTAATCAAATTGTAAGCATAAATTACTGTCGCCGATCTTCCGTCGATGGAAGATCAGCGACAGTAATTTATGCTTCGTTACGTGGTGCAGATGGCTGAACACACTTGACAAACCATCTGCGACGACTACACGCGTTGGTAGGTACATATGCTACTAAAGATCGGTAACCAAAAATACACTAAATATATTTTTCGACTACAAAGAAATAACCGTTAATCGACGCCTTTAATATAATGTCCAGACTAATAGACTGTTATTTCAGGACACGTTCTGTCTTGAAATGTCCATTGGACGCCTGGTAGTATTACTATGTGTCTATTTAGACTGTAGCACTACCATATCGGTCTCACCATAGCTTGACAATCATCAATCGTTACTTAATACTTTGTAATCTTCAGCGTAATTCATCACTACATAGTATAAAACAAAGTCGCTGTCGCTGTCGTTGTCTGTCCGTCTCTATGTATGCTTAAATCTTTAAAACTACGCAACGGATTTTAAAGCGGATTTTTTTAATAGATAGAGTGATTCAAAAGGAAGGTCTATATGTATAATACATGCATAATATAGTAGAGAAACACTGATAAATTTAGAGGTTTCTAATGTGATGTGATGTAATGTGCACCCATGAGACTAGACTAGACTAGGGAGACTTTGTACAAAAGTCGCTTGCTTGGGTACCTCTGACCCATTCGTGTTTCAATCGTAAAGCAGTTGTGTTTGCATGGCTGTGTTTCGGTTTGAAGGGTGGGATATGGAGTGAATTTAATGGGTACGGAGCAATAACACCTGAGTCCTCAGGAATGGCAGCGCATGGGGGATATCATGGGTGAAACAGTATACTCTGTTCTGTCCATGGTACTGCTCATATCTATTTTTTTTTTTATACCACTGAGGTGGCAAACAAGCATACGGCCCACCTGATGGTAAGCGGTTACCGTAGCCTATGAACGCCTGCAATACCAGAGGTATTACGCGCGCGTTGCCGACCCTGAAGAAACCTCTTTACCCCCTTTTGAAGAACCCCATGCTGTAGTCTCTCGGGAAAACCTCGGCAGGGAGCTCATTCCATAACCTGAGTGTTCGTGGGAGAAAGCATCTCTGAAACCGCGTTGTACGCGACCATTTAGGCTGTAAGGTATGAGGGTGAACTCCCTGCCGATGGCGAGCCGTACGATGATAGAAAGTGGCCGTAGGCATCATATTGAATAATTCCTCTGAGCATAATCCGTTGTATAAGCGGTAGAACACGCAGAGTGAGGCAAAATCTCTCCTAAGACTTAAGGGTTCGATACCGCTTGCAAGCATGGGATCATCGACAATTCTCATAGCTCGTCGTTGCACTGAGTCGAAGGGTTCAAGCTGGTATCTAGGTGCTCCCGCCCATAAGTGACAGCAATACTCCATATGTGGCCGGATTTGCGATTTGTAAAGCATTAGTCGCTGATCCGGCGTGAAGTAATGCTTCGCTCTATTGAGCACATCGAGTTTTTTGGATGCCAGCTTCACCTTATCTTCGAGGTGGTCACGGAACTGTACGTCACTAGAGATGTCGACACCAAGGATCCCAATGCTTTTAGAGATGTTAAGAGACGTGCCTTGGAACTGTGGGGCCACAGCAAATGGGTTTTTTTTAGCGGTGAACGCGCAAGCTTGTGTCTTAGAGGGGTTAAATTGGACCAAGTTTTGTCGTCCCCAATCAGAGACTCCAGTTAGTGTTCTCTCGATTTCAGACACAAGCTGTTCACGATTGTTCTCCACGATGGAACGGGAGACATTGGTACGACCCGTATAAAGGGCATCCCCGGTGCTGTCATCCGCATAACAATGAATGCTACCGAAGGTTAACATATCATTAATATGCAGTAGAAACAGCGTTGGGGACAGCACAGAGCCCTGCGGGACGCCAGCGTTAATATCCATGCTATCGGAGCAGCAACCATCTACAACGGTTTTTATACGTCTGCCGGATAAAAAACTGGCGACCCATTTACAGAGGCTGTCGGGAAGTCCATAGTAGGGCAATTTCGATAGAAGACCCCGATGCCAGACCCGGTCAAATGCCTTTGCAATATCAAGACCGACAGCAAGCGCCTCACCTTGACTCTCAATGGCTGATGCCCATCGGTGCGTAAGATATACCAAGAGGTCACCAGTTGAGCGACTATGGCGAAAGCCATATTGGCGGTCACTCAATAAATCGTGATCCTCTAGGTATTTTAACAGCTGTGCGTTAACTATACGCTCCATCACCTTAGAGAGAAGGGAAGCGATCGCAATCGGTCTGTAATTTGAAGGGTCCGACTTATCGCCCTTTTTAGGTACAGGATGTACAAGGGTGGTCTTCCATGTCGAAGGAAATTGCCCTGTGGAGTACGAGATCGTGAAGAGACGCGTTAATACAGGACACAATTCCGGAGCACACTGCTTTAGGACCACTGCCGGTATACCGTCTGGCCCACTCGACTTATGAACATCTAAGGATAGTAACTCCCGCCGGACTTTACATTGTGTTATAGTAATTTCCGGCATGGAGCTTCCGCAACACAAGATGGTAGGTGGTACAGAATTACCTTCGTCCATAGTCGAGTTAGAGGCAAAGAAAATGCCAAATAAGGCGACGGTTACCACTTTCCATCAGGTAGGCCAGCTTGTTTGCCATTCTAAGTTGAATGAAAAAAAAAATATTATATCTGAAAATTTTGACTCTACATCTATTAACTTCGTTAACTTCTTCCCTTCAATAATATACCATCATCATCATATCAGCCATTACCCGTCCACTGCTGGACATGGTCCATTTACATCCACTGACTGCCTGCAATACATTTGAGATCAATATTATATCAAATTCAAATTCAAATTCAAAAATCATTTATTCATGTAGGACATTTTAGCCGCTTATGAACGTCAAATTTGTACATTATAATTTTATATTTACCCTACCGTCCAGTTCGGTATATAGATCCAATTGAGAAGAACTGGCAAGAAACTCAATTGAATTACTTTTTTTTTTTTTAAAGCCAGTTTATTTACAATGTATATTTATATAGGTGTCTATGTCTAACATTAAATGAAAATTCAGTGCATGAACAACTATTGCCATGCACACTCGTCATTCAAGTAATCGTTTAGTGAGTAATAGGCTTTGCTCAGTAAATATGATTTAACAGATGTTTTGAATTTATTTAAGGGTAATTCCAACATATCCTTTGGTATCTTATTGTAAATTTTTATACCTATTCCCATAAAAGACCTATTAACTTTTTCTAAACGATACTTGGGGACAGCAAGTTTGTCTTTAAATCTAGTATTAATATTATGAATATTGCTGTTTTTTGGAAATAAGTCAAGATTTTTATGAACATATAGAATATTTGAATATATAAATTGAGAAGCAACGGTGAGAATATTTGCCTCTTTGAATTTCTCTCTTAATGAGTCACGACTCTTCATACAGTAGATCGCTCGAACGGCACGTTTTTGTAATATGAATATATTCTTAATATCTGCCGCTTTTCCCCATAGTAATATTCCATAAGAGAGTAAACTATGAAAATAACTAAAATAGACTAATGTAGCAGTATCAGTATCAGTGTACTGTCTAACTTTACGCACGGCAAAAGCTGCTGAACTTAGTTTCGCTGCAAGGCTTTGAATTTGTGCACCCCATTGTGTTTTATTATCTAGTGTGATTCCTAGAAAGACAGTAGAGTCTATGAATTCGAGAGATTCGTCATTTAATTTAATATTGCAATTAGTATTAAAACTTTTAGATAGAGAGAAATTAACACATTTTGTTTTTTTAGCGTTTAACATAAGATTGTTAGTTGTAAACCAGTGCAGGAGACGCCGCAAAGCACTATTTACATCGTCATAATTATTAGTCATTCTATTAACTTTAAAAATCAATGAAGTATCGTCTGCAAACAATACTATGCCGCATCTATCCTGCATGGCATATGGGAGATCATTAATGTAAACTAGGAATAAAAATGGACCGAGAATAGATCCTTGAGGTACACCCATTTGCACAAGTGACCCGTCAGACGTAGCGTTGCTAATCTTCACTTTCTGTATTCTATCAGATAGATAAGATTTTATTAAATTTAAAGCATTGTCTTTGACGCCATAAAAAGCAAGTTTTTTTAGCAATGTATTATGATCAACGCAATCAAAAGCCTTAGAAAGGTCACAAAAAACACCTATCACATCCATTTTAGTTTCCCATGCAGCAAATACGTGTCTAAGCAACTCTGCACCTGCGTCTGTAGTTGAACGACCTTTGGAAAAACCGAATTGACTATTGTGGATTAAATTATTTAAATTGAAATAACTGACAAGTTGCATAAGGATTATTTTTTCAAAAATTTTACTGAGTGCTGGGAGTATGGATATAGGTCTATAATTTATTGGGTCACTCCTATCTCCAGATTTAAAAAGCGTCATAGTGGTAGAATACTGACGGATCTGACGAATATTACATATAAAGATCCGTCAGTATTCTACCACTATGACGATATATTCTTCAAAATACCTTGCCTGTAGCACGTAAAGTTAATTACAGGACTAAAAAGTAAGACAAAGTTACTATAAAGGATGCGAAATAAAAAACCGATTTTTAGATGTTGCCTAAGCACTGTCAGAGCACACACTAAATCAAGGAAAAAGGTAATTCAATATTTATAAGTAAAGTGCGTACCCTCAGTATTTTTAATTTTTATTTATAATGGACTGTATTAATAATAAAACTATAAGTGGGTACATTTATATAGGTATACAAGTAAAAAGTACAAATAGTAATAAAATAAACTAAATCGTAGTGCGTCGCCTACAGTTGCTGACCTTAAGCTTGTATATAGACACTGTAAAGAACTTTCTCATGATAGATACAATTACCGCAGGCTCCTATCCTTGCACTTATCTCTCACGTCGCTCCACTTTTATTTATAACACATAAATTACAAAATTTTACAACACCATAAAGCCAAGATAATTCTTAAGATCTCACCATTTCTGCCTCCTTCTCGGCCTGCTTGTACCGGCTGGTCGAAGCCGGCCCTGCATTCTGTTCGAGGCATAGTCCTTTGATAGCGTACGACTCCGCTACGATGCGTAGACTCCGCCTGAAAGGGTATAAAAACGTTTCAAATATATTAAATGAATTATCTATCTCTATTATGATTTATTAAATTAATATTCAAGTCGATTGTAGGATAATAAGTGATAATGGAATTGTAACCCCGCCTGCGCTATCGGGTACGCTGGCGGGGCACCAGTGAGGGGTGACAGATGAGGATGAAAAGACAGGCCAGTTAGCCCAACGTGACGAATTCGACTAGAATTAACCACGAGGGTTTCCAGAGGGAACCGCGTGGAGGTCGACCTAATAGGGTGTATTCCTAGCAATGGGTCAAATAGACCGCATTACCAATAATCCTACAATGCCCCCCCCCCCCCCATTGTATGGTAGGCAGACTAAGTATAAGTAGTTGATTATTATATACAAATAACTTACTGAAAGACGATGTAGTGACAAAAATCGAAAAAGGAATGTTGCGTTGGTTTGGTCATTTGGAGAGGATGGATGAAAGAAGAATTACGAAAGAGATTTATCGAGCATGAATGAATGGAGATGTCGGTAGGGGCCGCCCTAGACGGACGTATGTCGACCAAATAGGCGACGTGCTGAAGAAGGGCCAATTTAAAAGTACCCGTAACCGGCGAGCGTGTGTGAAAGGATTCATGAATGTGGAAGAAGCGAAAAAGGTTTGTTTAAATCGAAGCATTTGGCGTTCCATTGTTTCTGCCTACCCTAATGGAAGACAGGCGTGACAGATATGTATGTATGTAATAACTTAGTAAAATCATTGTGTTTGTTTACACGCTGACTTATCACACATTTATTAAACTTGATTGATGTTGGTACCCCACACGATGCATTTGAATTATGTTTTAAATTACTTATGAACAAGTCTCTACTGCTCCCTGCAGCTATCAATATGTAAAATGGTGTGTGATGAGATTAAACTGTAGCTAGGTGCTTTTGTTAATTTAGTTAAATTACGGAATTTATTTATTTAGGAGGAAAGTTTTGTCTGCTGAAGTTTTCCCAAGAGACTACAGCATGGGGTTCTTCGAAAGGGGGGTTAAAGAGGTTTCTTCAGGGTCGGCAACGCGCGCATAATACCTCTGGTATTGCAGGCGTTCATAGTTCATAGGGCCGTGTGCTGGATTGCCACCTCAGTGGTATAAAAAAAAAGAGTTTAAATTCTTCAGAAGAATTTGTTTAAACATTTTGATTTAGCAATTGACAAAACACCTCAGGGGTAGAAGAAATTTGAAATATGCTTACAATATTCAAATAAATCATATACTATTTGATGATATTTGGTCTTTAGAATCGGCGTGTATGAAGAGAAATGATGCAAGTGGGGGAAGCATAACATAAATAAAGAAGAGACTGTTGCTATTGTTCTTAATGGAGGCTGGTGTAAAAACAGGTAGATTATACACAACAAAAAAAAATTAATATCTTGTCTTTTATATAATACTAGCTGACTTGACATACGTTGTTTTACCATATACATTATTTCGAGAACTATACATGAAAATATATCGTACTACAATTATTATATTCGATTGTCATCTTGCAACCATATTGCGGAATATAAAAATCGCGATTAAAAAACAGGAGTTGATCGTAAAAGGGTGAAAATTTGAAGTTGTATGTATTTTTCAACGCTAAATCATAATAAAATTAATATATAAAAAAAAAAATTGACAAAAAAAAATATTTAGGAGTGGGTCACCCTTATAATTGAGGGGTATGAAAAATAGATATTGGCCGATTCTCAGACCTACCCGATATGCACACAAAATTTCATAAAAATCGGTAAAGCCGTTTCGGAGGAGTTTGATAACAAACGCCGTGACACGAGAATTTTATATATTAGAGATTATCTTTTTGAAAAATATAATTTTGATATTGTACATAGTTGATGTATCTGTTAGTGTATTAAATATATACTTGTACAATTGTAATAATACAAAACCTTGTACCGTGTCATAATAACAAGGAAATTAACGTTTCCAAGGTTCAATGCTTATGACACGTTATACCTACTAGTATATGCATATTATGTAAAACTGTGAATAATTAAACAAATTGGTGACCAAGTATAATCTTATTTATATTATAAATGTGAAAGCAAGTTTTTTTTGTTACCCATAGACGGTTTAACAGCTCCAATCAGTCATTCAGTGTCACAAAATATGTCATACATGTTTAGGATGATGGAGGACGTAGGCTATGGTCAATTCGTCTTTTTCGCCTTATCAAATTTTAACGCTTTGCTGATCAGGAATTCTGTCATTGTTGAAATCTTTGGAATTAAACTAAAATTGTGATAAAAACAGGTCAGGTCGACCTCCACGTGGTTCCCCATGGAAACCATCGTGAACAATTCTTGTTGAATTCGTCACGATGGGCTAAGTAACCTGCTTCATCCTCACCTATCATCCCTCACTGGTCCCCCGCCGGTGTATACCAATAGCGCGGGTGGGGTTACCATTCCATTATCACCCATTAAAAAAAAAGTTCCAGAGACGTTTCCTCCCACGAACACTTAGTTTATGGAATGAGCTCCCTGCCGAAGTTTTCCCAAGAGCCTACAGCATGGAGTACTTCAAAAGGGGGGTAAAGAGGTTTCTTCAAGGTCGGCAACGCGCACGTAATACCCGTGGTATTGCAGGCGTTCATAGGCTACGGTAACCGCTTACTATCAGGTGGGCCGTATGCTTGATTCCCACCTTAGCGGTATAAAAATACAGCAATTAGTTCGAGAGGCATCAAAAATAGTACATATCTATATGACCAGAGGGAGACTTTGTACAAAAGTCGATTGCATGGGAACCTCTGTCCCATTCGTGTTTCAACCGTTAAGCAGTTGTGTTTGCATGGCTGTGTTTCGGTTTGAAGGGTGGGATATGGCTTGAATTTACAGGGTACAGAGGAATAACACCTGAGTCCTCAGGAATGGCAACGCACGGGGGGTATCATGGGCGAAACAGTATACTCTGTTATGTCCATGGTACTGCTCATGTCTATAGGCGACGGTTACCACTTTCCATCAGTTGGGCCGTCAGCTTGTTTGCCATTCTAAGTTATATAAAAAAAAAAATAAAAAAAAAGATTAAACTTAATTCTATACGATAATCAAACACTGTATTTGCTTAACATAATAGTTACAGCTACATAATTGAAACGGTTCTCAGGTCGGCCTGATATCGGTTTGCAAATTATTTTAACAGTATGTGGGTACAATACGAGACTACTGGGTACGGCCTATCCAGAGCCAGGGAACTACAGATATCTTAAACCGCGGGATATCGTTAGGGTAACACATAGGATCTATGAAATGATGGTATAAGGTAGGGGGAAGCACAAAAGATCCCGATGGGTCGACGTGCAACGGCTTAGCTGACCCCATAAGATAAGATATGGGTACATTATAAAAGTTATGTACAACATACACAAATATACTTGTACAGGACAAGAGGAAAAACAGATAAAGCCCGGACAGTGAATATGTTCTAAACTTTAAAATAAAATGAAAAATATATATTTCCATAATAAAATTGGTACAGTATTAGTACAATACTGCAGCGGCCAGCAACGAGGTGTACCTCGTCTACGCCTCGGCCCACATTTGCACGTTCGTCCATCAATGCCTCAGTTGCTGGCCGCTGCAGTAATGTACTATATTTAGAGATTATTAGGTAAAAAAATTATATGTTCTGGGTCTGTGACCTGTTGTTATATATTGTAAGCGGCAAATGAGAAAAAGTACTTTCTGCTGCAGTTAAATTGTGGTTTTATTCATAACTAACAACCCAACCTGGGTTTGTATGGTTTTTTTAATAAAAAACAGCCCATATTACTCGCTAAATGTGTAATTTTTTTTTTAAATTAGATAAGTATGGGGTAAAAACAATACAAACAAAAATGACAAATCTATCCTCTTTATAATAATAGTTTAGAGATACAAACTCACTGTTACTTGCATACTTACACAGGTAACTCTTTCTCTGTCAATGTGTTCAAATCAACCAGTTTATAATGTTTCAAGGCTTCATCATAAGCTCCGCAGGCATAGTTAAGCTTTCCAAGTAGGAGTTGCGCGTCCAACCATACGCCAGCACGCTTGCCCGCCTCGTCAGTCGCTAGTGTGAGGTACCCACGAGCATCGGATAACTCCCGCTGTGCTCTCTCTATGTTTTCCTTGGATGGTGGCCATTCCGCTAAGTAACCTTCTAGCTTCCCTTCACCGATGAGGAAGTGGGAGAGACTCTCTGAGGAAGAAATAGTGTATTTAAATTTATATAGGAACATACTACAAACATATAAATTGGATTCGCAATTACTAGCTATATTCTATGACAATGGCCATGTGGATATAAATAGTATATATGTTAAGATAAAGAAGCCTTTATTCTGTGCTTAATATTATACAAAATTTGCTTTGTGATTTTAATTAATATTGCATGCATACATTATAATATTTTTTTTTTTTCACTAAAATAAATTATATATTCAAGATTCAAGATATATTTATTTGTAAAACATGCGTCCATGTATTATAATTATATTATTTTTTAGAATGAATTAATAAAATTATATTATCAAAATTATATATATATATATATATATATATATATATATATATATATAATTTCCATCAAATTAAATCTCATAGCACAGAGTACCTTGTGGCAAAGGCCTCCTTCAACTCCTTCCAATGATTTCTGTCCCCAGTACATTTATTGGTGTCTCAGATCGAATAAGTATATATGTTAATTCAGAATTAATACTCATTTATATCTCAAAAATAATTGAAATAAAATTAAATCCAGTATTATGCATACTGAATTTCACAGGTAATAATTTTTATTAAGGAGGATTTTTAGGTAAGTGTTTTCCTATTTATTAATAATAGAATTTTGTAAAAAATAAACATTTTAAATTATTAATATATAATCTTTATTGTATTTGTAATTTATAAAGTTATTAAAGTTATTACTAGTATAAATATTTTGAGCAAGGGGGTAGAATTAGGTTGGAATTATCTGTTATTATTATTCTATTATCCATCATTTAAATATACAAATATAAACAAAACAAACTTGTTAATCTCTCTGTTATTTATTTATTTTTACACTAAATTTACATTCATATAATTTATATTAAATAAAAATATACAATAGGCGAGCTTAACTCTGTAAGTGTTCTCTTCTAGCAAACCCTGAGTGGAAGAAAGAAGGATTAATTACCAATCATATTGTTATCTTTATCATTTGGAATTTGAAGACTTTAGCCATCTCTCATCATACTGATATGATAGGCAACATTGATTACCAAAGACTGATGATAGGCAAAGTTGAAGTCAGTTTATATTTCTGTGTTGATTAGATTATATCATTTCTGTAATCATAACATTAACTAGCACTTGTGTTTATTACTCATTCAACAAAGTATTTTAACAGCTAATAATAATACAAATAATATGCATATTGCAAAAAATATACAAAATAAATATTTTACAGATGTTTCCTACTAATCTAAGACAGTTTAAAAGATGTCAATGACATAGTTTCCAGGAGTGAATAGTCTATCTCTTCTCATTCAGAGAAAAGCGAGTTAAAAAATAATCGTAAAGTTATTATTATTTTTTATTATCATATAAATTGATTAATATAGTATTGTTTGCACCTTTCACCATTTGTGTGTATAAAAGTTTATGGGTGCAGGAACTCTTCAATAACTCGTTTATTGTTACTTTTGTGAAATATGAATTTATTATAAGATATTTATTAGGATGATTCGTTTGCTAATTACAGAGAGCGAGTGAGTGAAGTTCATGTCTATCACCGCAGTAGCACACCGTCGAAGTCTCACTTCGCTCCAGTAACATTTTATCCATTTTGCTCAATAGATGACACCAACAAGTATCATATATTAATCAAATATAAATTCTATAATAATTTTCCCGAACATTTATAATAATAATAAATATAAAAAATAAATATAATACTATTTATTTAATATAATAATACACTGTTACTATATAATTTCATTAATAATATTAAATTTCATTTTAAAATTTATTTAAACACAGACTGTCTATCAGCATTCAGAAGTCACATAAGTTCAAGTTTCAATTATACACTGGTCTACGGCTGTGAAATATTCTAAATCTAATATTTAAATCCATGTATCTTTCCCTATTAGTTCTAAAAATTACTAAAAACATAAGTCTTAAAAACACCCATCTACTTAAGGAATTCTTTTCCATGTATTCAGTTACTCTTAGTTATTTAATGTATGAAATTAAAAATTAATTAAATATATTATTAAAGAATAGGTAAATGGCTATATGGAAAACACTAATCAGCGCTGTGTATCGTACTATACACGCCTATGATATCTCAAATATAATTATCTATTAATTACATTAGATAAAGCAAATTTAATGTTCAATTCAGTACATCATGATCACATGTTTTGTTTTAATTTTAAACAAATAATTTTGTATTTACTGATAGATAACGACAGGGGCATAGAGAGGGACGTGACTCACCATGCTGCGGAGACCTGGCCTTCAACTGCTGAGCCAAATCAACCACCTTCTTCCAATTAGAATCCTCACGATTTTTGTCGATCTCCGACTCGTAAATCCGTACGGCATTCTTACTCCTCGATGTCATCTTAACACGAGGGTTCGATTAATTGTACGTCACACCATTGAATCCGAATTATTAATCACTTAAACATTGCAAAATCTTTTACAAATTGCAAAAGATTCCCTACTAATCAGCATTAGCAATTGAAGGCCAAATTTGACAGATGACAACATCCCTCCCCTACGCGTTCCAATTCAAGCAGAAATCAACTCGGCATTATTGACGAAGGCTGTTTACCAACAGAGAGTGCTATATTTCTTGACGTTTACTAAATAAATTATTATTGTGTAATTATAATAAATAAATATATATATATATATTAAAGGTTAACATTGTTAAATTACAAAATAATTTTTACTTCACTCAATATGTTAGGATCAAAAATAAAGATGCGCTATTACAATATAGATGACAAATTACACAGATAAAGTATAATAATTAAGTGTTTCATATATTAAAATATATTCAATTTATTAAATATTAATTAAAAATAATAAGTACATAAAAAAAGGTTTTATATCTCAAGCAGTTACTGTCAATGTCAAAAGATGGCGCTGTACGTCTATAAATAAAATTCAAATAGGAAAATGGAGGAGATTACTATCATAATTAATTAATATCGTTAATATTCATTATTATCTATGGATCTTATCGATTTCATATCTCCAAATTCTTAATTATGTATTTTTTATGTATGTATATGTTTGCCAATTGCAACCCGATTTTGATAATTCTATCTACATTCGGTAGCGTTTACTCCAATGTCAATTTCAAACCACTTTTGTCGATTGAAGTTGAGAACAATAACCCAAGACTGCAGTAATACAGTTTTTACAAACATGATCTTACATCGAGATATGCAATGAACTAATAGTTAATAACATTGCATCCCTCAACAGGGAGCTCAATCATTAGAATACAGATATATTAAGGCAAGTAAGAGGTATATGTGCATGCAACTAAGGCTCTACAGGGGGGAAAGGGATTATTAGCAATAGAGTTCGACATTGCTAGCAATATGCCCTATCAGGTCGACCTCCACATAGTTACCCTTGGAAACCATCGTGAACAATTCTTGTTGAATTCGTCACGATGGGCTAACTGACCTGCTTCATCCTCATCTATCATCCTTCACTGGTGCCCCGCTGGTGTATACCAATAGCGCGGGTGGGGTTACCATTCCTTTATTATTATTATTATTATAGCTTTTTTATCCACTTCCGTGGTCCCCAAGGGTAAAAGCCTCCTCCATCTTTTTCCACTTCTCCTTGTCTATAGCAATACCCGTCCAGTTCTTTCCTGCTATCTTTATTATGTCATCTTCCCATCTCTTTCTTTGTCTTCCAACATTTCTTTTTCCTGCTGGACCTCGCCATTTTGTTGTTTGGAGAGTCCACCTTTTATCTTTGTACCTCACTATATGACCTGCCCATCTCCACTTCTGTTTCATACTATGCTGAAGAGCATCTTTTATTTTGGTTTTCTTCCTAATATCAGTGTTTCTTATTTTCTGTATTTTTCTTAACTTTAAGATACTTCTTTCCATCGCATGCTGACATGATAGGATTTTGTTCTTTATTTTTTCTGTATAGGTCCATGTTTGGCATGCATATGTTAGGCTTGGAAGGATGCAGGAATCCATAATTATCTTTTTTAAGTTGAGACTGTAGTTCCCTTTAAGGATTTCTTTTTGAGCCCAATATTTCTTCCATGTTATGTTTATTCTTCTATCAACTTCATTTTCTCCACTGTTCGTTTCGAAAGAGACCATTTTACCTAGGTACACATAACTATCCACATAATCTATAGGGTTCTCTTCTATTGTGATAATTTTTTTGCTGTGGTTTGTCATGATCTTTGTTTTGGTTGCATTCATATTTAGGCCAATTTTCTTACTTTCCAAATCTAGTTCTTGTAGCATTTTTTCTAGGTTGCTAACCGATTCGCTAAAAAGTACTATATCATCTGCGAAACATAAGTGTGTTAGTCTTTTGTTCAGTATCCATATACCCTCATGGCTCCAATCGATACTTTTAAAGATGTTGTTAAGTACTGCTATGAAAAGTTTTGGAGAAAGTGGATCTCCCTGTCTTACGCCTCTTCCAATTGTGAACTTTTCACCCTGCCTCTCCAGTTTGACTCTGCTTATACTATTAGAGTAAATATTTTTTATAATATTTATGTAGGTGCTGTTTATGTTATTGTCAGCCAAAGCATGCCATATGGATGAATGTGTAATGCTATCGAAGGCCTTGGAGTAGTCCACAAATGCTATGTAAAGTGATTTATTAAATTCTTTGTACTTTTCTATTATCTGTTCTATTGTGTGGATGTGATCGATTGTAGAGTAATGTGGTCTGAATCCAGCCTGCTCTATTGGTTGATATTTGTCAATTTCTGTTGCTATTCTGCTCAAAATAATGGATGAAAAGAGTTTGTAAACTGTGGATAGTAAGCTGATAGGTCTGTAGTTGCCAATATCAAGCGGGTTGCCTTTCTTGTACAGCAGTATAATGTCAGATTCACACCATTGCTTTGGTACCACTTGCTTTTCCAAAACTAGGTTAAAAATTTTCACTATATATGTGATTAAAATAGGCACTCCGATTTTTATGGCTTCATTCGTAATGTTGTCTGAACCTGGGCTTTTTTCAGGTTTTAATTTTTTAATAAGTTTTATGACCTCGTACTCTGTAATCTGGTTCGGTGCTGCTTCTGAATTGCTTTCCTTACACACAATGTCTTCATCTTTATATGTTTCTTTTTCTAAAGGTTTTTTATACAGGTCGGTGTAGAATGCCGTTGCACTTCTGACTATGTCATCTCTTTCCCTGATTTCGCCTTTACCATTATTTAGAGATTGTATCCATTTTTTATGTGTTGTAAGTTCTTTGAAGGCTCTTTTTGAACTTCGGAACTTTGTCATGTTTCTTTCAATAACTGCTCTTCTGTAATTATCATGGTCTTTCCTAATTGCTCTATTAGTTTCCTTAAATAACTTCTTTATTTTTTCTCTAGTTTCTTTGGTTTTGTGCTTCTCAGTCACAAGTTCAGTTCTTCTAGAGATTAGACTCAGTGTTTCACTGCTTAAGATTTTATGTTGGCCAGCTTTTCTTTTCTTATCAAATCTTAAACTTTCTAATATTATTTCTTCCAGTTTGTTGCTCAAGGCCTGTACATCTTCTAAATTAATCAGTGAGTCATGTGATTGTGCTAGATTCTTTTTCAGATTTCGTATATAGCTGTTTCTTTTCTCAGTGGAGTTCAGTTGATTTGGAGAAGTGTTAAAAGCTCTTCTACTTATTTTTGACTTTTTGGTTTTAAGAGTGCATCTCACTAATCTATGATCAGACGGAAAGCTTGTTTTGTTTAACACCTCTATATTACTTACAGAATTTGGATTAGAGCTCAGAATGAAGTCGATTTCATTTTTTGTTTTATGGTCTGGTGATATCCATGTCCATTTTCTAGATTCTTTTTTCTTAAAAAATGTATTCATGATCGACAACTTATTCTCGTAAGCATATTGTATCAGACGTTCACCTCTTTCATTCCGTGTTCCATATCCAAATTTTCCCATTATGATGTTTTCATGTGGTTTCGGGTGTCCAATTTTTCCATTGAAATCTCCAATGACAAGCACGTTTTTGTCAGCTAAGTTTTGTGCTTTTGTTAAGTCGTTATAGAATTTTGTTAGTTCCTCTTCACTTGAGCTCACAGTTGGGGAATAAACTTGTATAATCGATATTGGTCCATCCCTCAGATTCATTCTTAGCAATGCGACTCTTTCCGATATTCCCACAAAACTTGAAATATTGTTCTTTAATGACTTCTTAATAATGAAACCCACTCCATGTAGGCCCACTGTTTCGCCTATGTAACAGAGTATATATTTGTCATGTTCTTCTATAGCGCTTCCCATTTTTTTTGTTTCTGCAAGTCCCATAATGTCCCAATTAATTTTTTCTATTGCTTGGTTTAGTTCTATCATTCTTTCTTTAGTTGCGAGTGATCTTACATTGTATGTGCATATTTTTAGGTATTGATCTATTTTTAATTTTGTTTTTTCTTTTGTATTGCTTAAGTTAATTCTATTGCTACTTACATTTTTGTTTTTGGTATTTGTTATTTTATTTGATATTTTATTTGATGAAGGGTAATGGTCGTCTTCCCCCACGGTGACCAGCCGGCTTGGGGTGTATTCTGTTAGTGTTACATTTGATGGTTTTAGTAAATTTGTTTTGTTTTGATTCCGTTTGCTAGAGGTAGTTATTAGTTTTTTGCTAGTTCCGACATGGATGATGATCTTCCACGTGCCACATAATTAAGTATGTTTGGTTTTGGTTTGTCTTTCATTAAATCTGTAGGCAAAACAGGTGAAATATAAGATGAATTTGGACTGCTGTTAGCCAACAGTTTTTTACTGTGATTTTTAGTAGTTGGTGAATCAGTGTTTTCTCTTTTACGCTTTTCGCGATTGCTTTCTTTTGGTTTCTTTACTACTAATTGATCATATTTCAAATAAGCTATATTTCCTTTCTTTCTTTCCTCCTCTAATTTCGGTTGTAGTTTTCTACGTATATCTAGTACCTCTTTGGGATAGTCTTCTTTAAAGTAGATGCCATGTGGAAGGTTAGATTTATTTTGTTGTACAAGGTGCTTTTTCCATGTCGACGAAAAGGACACCACTATTGGTCGGCTTTTGTTTGATGAAGATCCAATTTTATACACACTTGCTATTTCATGACTATCTAAGTGTACTCCCATATCCATTATTATTTCTTTTATATAATCCACTAATTCAGCTTCGCTTCTCTCATGTTCCTTAATTCCAAAGAATACTAAGTTGTTTTTCCTTTTATCTTTCTCTATAAAATTGAGTTTTTGTTCTAATTTTGTTATTCTTGTTTTAAGAGCGTTATTTTCCATTACAAGGGCTTTCATCTTCTCATCTAATGCTTGCATTACATTTTTAGTAACTTCGGTAGATATAATTGAAGTCTGCTTGTTCAGTTTTTCGTCTAGTTTTGAGAGTAACAGTTCCATATTTTTGTCCATATTGAGTGTTTAAAGTCGTGAACGTAATCCGTTAGTAAATTAACACTTTTTAATTTTAGCACTTTTTTCTTTGTCTGGCAACACCACAACTATCAGTGTCAAATATGATATGGTTGGTACGTAGATGTAGATTGGATTTGTAGGGTTGGTACTATTGTTGAAGTTTCTTCTATTGTCTATGATGCGAGATGAATTGTCACTTTTGAATATTTTTGAGGTTATGTTCGCAGGAATATCG